TATCAGATTGTCAAAAAATTTGGAACATGAATGTTAGGAAATAGAAACTATTTGATGTATTATTACATTCTGTTGAACAGAATGGAAGGCTTTATTACTCGATAACAGCTACGTTCTCGATATTTTAAAATCTCTTAGAATAATCCACACCCGAATCGCTAAACCTTAACTGAGTTACGCCTTGGCCGTTCCAATTAAAAGTTGAGACCATACCATTCCAAAAATAAACAACAATTGAACACCTATAGCTACACTCGTTGTTCCTGGCTTATAACAATCTATCAATCGGGAAAATTGTGTAAAGGAAAATTCAATTAATGTGAGAAATTGTTCATACTGTACTGATGCTAGACTGATGACATTAGATGATGACAATTTTAAAATAAGTAAACTGTTGACTTGTATAAAATGTTACATAAATCATAAGAGTAGTTTAGCATAGATAATCACGTACTTCCTAAGAATGATAAAATCATGTTTAAACAAGTCATAAGATTATTACAATCTATAATTGCACTTACTAATTAATGTCATTTGTACATTACTTTTTGGCCTATATGGCGTCATATTAAAGTTGATCGTAAATTTTTAATGTTAGCAACTTAAGCTTTTCATATGAAATAGATTAAGTTTCATTTATCATTAATGCTGCAGTATTTTTTGAAATGATGAAAATTAGGTCATGAGGTCAGCTAACTATTACAACAATAACAAAAAACCCAACAATATTTCAATGGTTAAGGTCAACTGAACTAACACTCAAAAAATTGTCATTCAGCCCTGGTGAATAACTTGAATAAAAATGTCAGTAATATCAATAGTTGAGATCATGAGTAAATTGAAGCTAGACCACCATGGAAAACCTGAAAGCATTGGACGGCCGTTTAATCCTATTATGGGAGTCCTCAGTAATAATACATTTATTAACATATATTAACTATTGAAATTATTTAGTAACCACTGATCTCCGTAATAACAGTACACATCAGCTTAAATAACAATTTAAAAAAAAATATTATGCTTACTAAGCTGATAAATTCAGGTATTTTATGATGCAATTAAAATTAAGTACATCTAAATTTCAATTCATACAGTTGACTTCAATTACATCTGAAAGTCTTATTGAGAAAAGATCATCATATGTCAAACTTAATCTGTGTAATCCTACTTGATAATATCTACATTTTTGATTACTTATCGAAATAAAGAATCTTTTTGTATCCATTTAGCATGTTTAACAGGTAATCGAAATCATTTTAAAAATGATTTCCGGTTGGAATAATACACAACTCTGAAGTATACCATAAGTCCTTAATAAGTTTTTCCAAAGACTGGTGAGACTATAATTTATGGACGACCATTGAGCGACGCTAAAATGACCTTGAGAGTGTTCACCTATTGACTAGGATTAAATGAGGGTTTTAAACAATTGTAAGGAATTGGAATTATGACTTACAGTTGATGGTTAGTGTTAGGAATTAGATTTAGGGTTTTCATCACGAACTGACATCAGCTATAATGCCAAAACTCTATTTAGCCAAATGGATGGGTGAATTTCGTGCCAAAATTCGAGACCTGTTATCTCATATCCGATTGGTTCGTCCATAAATTATTGTCTCGCCTAAAGACTTAAAGAAAAACTGTATGTCTTAAGGAAGACAGTAAAGAATTAATCAACTGCAATGTTTAATATTTAAACTATTATAAACATTTGTAATAAGAAGACGAATATTACCAGAACTATGTGAAACAAATAGAATCAAATGACCCAATAAGAGTAGATGATAAACATCTATCATCCTCTGTTGCAAAACATATAATCGAAACAGGCCATAAGATTGATCTTAACTCGGCTTTTGTGGTGTTGCACAAAAGTGTAAAAGGGTGTATACTAAGGTTTATTGAAGCCTTATCCATACGAAAATTTATAACCCCTCTGTGTATTCAAAAACAGCTTGTTCTTACCTTAAACGTACCCTGGTAATATTAGCTTATTATTATATATCACATAGTTCTAATAATCATCTTATTACACTGTTGAAATTTATCAAAAGGGACTAATTGCTATAAACATTTGTATTGTCATTATGAGATTATATAAAAAATTAAGATAATCATTTTATCTTATTGCGTAATTACAATACAATTGCTATTAACATTGTGTTAGATCAAACACATGTGTACGTAAAAGGGAACCCTTTGTCATCTACTTTATACATTGAACCATATTGTTCCCAGGTTCATAACTGACAAAAAATATTAAATACACAGATAACTTTTCCTATCGTAAATATATACTGGGTCAGTGTGTTATATCTTGTGACCGCAGATTAGAGGGCAGTGACTTATCAATCGGATCAATGACGCGTAAACCCGTTTGACCAGCATAGAGTCTTGGTTGGTCCTGCTTCCTGCCTAGCTCAGTCAGTTAAGTCCAGAACACCAATCCGAGCCTCTGCGATATGAATCATTATATTTCAAATATACTGAATTTATATATCAATCAAACAGACCACAACGTACCAATAAAATATGAACCAACATTTGTACAAGAATTAGCCAGATGTGGCTGTGAATGGGGGAGGTAGTAAATAATATACTGGGTACAACTCAAGAATAGTAAAACGTATAATAATAGTTTATGGGTCAACACAAAGTTTATAATAACAGGAATATGAATATGCATAGTTTAGTTACTTAATAATTATACAATAGGAATATACGTTTAGTATTGGTCCGTAAATGGATTCCAAAAGTTACCATTCATTATTCTTGTCGGGACATAACACAATGGTGTATAATCGACAGTGAAATTACGTATCAACTATCTAGTTGACTATAGACTATGGTACTCAAGAAAATAGTATTTCGTTTATTGTTGATACCTTTTTCAAATAACAAGAAACACCTCTACATAAGAACTTTCGTCTAAATTTGATCGAACAGTTTCACAGTATTTCGGCATCAAGTTGCTGTGAGACATTAAAGAGGAAGAATATGTATTTGTAGAATATCAGCGAATGAATTTGAGGAAAATCCAACGTTATTTTCTTGAGAAAGCTTAGACCAGATTGCCAGGCGAAACGTTGGATTTACTTTAAATTCATTCGCAGATATTTTACAAATACATATTTTTCTTTTTTAAAAGCACCTCTACATTATTATTCGCAAATATCTGGTCCGATTGTTTGAGAAAGCCCAGTTACTTAGATGGATATATTTTAGTCAATATTGTAAACATTACAAGAGTGATAATCGAAAATTAAGAATAAAAACTGCTAAAATAAAGAATGGTGTTACTACGATTAAATAAGTTAATAGCAAGGATGAGGAATGTTCAGAATGGTCGTATATTTAACAAACAAAATCGAATTGTGACTATTAAAAATTAGACAGAGGAAATAAGGAAAGAAAGGTAGCCATGAACCGTGGTAGCATGAGGTGAACCAAAAGTTCTCTCTGTATTCATAGATTTAGGTTGAGACGAAAAATAGCTGCTGTGGTAAGATCATATCATACCGACGAATTTTAGGGCCCTGAATATACCACAGATATTTATAGCTGACAACACTCTAACCAGAAACATCTATAATTGAATCGTCCCCATCCAGTGAAATCAAAAGTTAGAAGCGAGGAGGTTTGAAGATATATTTGATAGGTTATCAATATATCGAGAAGTGACTGATCTAAACCGGATAGCGATTGTAGGAGAAGTTGAGCACGACGTTTCCTCTCGTGATCTGGTGCGGATGCGTGACTGAGCTGTTTCAGCTAGGTGAGTCCATTACAATTAATGTGGTCAGCATCAAATTTTGAAGACTTATAGAGCTGTTGATTTTGGGGATTTATTTACCGCTACAGCCCAATCACAATTAAGATGACGTCCATTGGACTTCAAAGTTCGAAACTCGGCGAAGGACAGAATGTATTTTATATATATATTTTTAAAAAATAAGTAAAAATTGTCTATTATTAGTTCCTGAAATGCTTAAAATAGTCAAACGTATATTCTGTACGGCTACATGGTGAATGTGACATAGTGTTTAAAGTAACTTCAAGAAATACTTGGTCCTGACACTGATAGTGTAGTGAACAAGAACACGAGTGGGGACAATCGAATGTATTTGACATGAAATTACAGAGCATCTCACTGAAATATGAGAACCATATAGTAAACAGTTAATTTGCAAAATATCAATTCATCGTCTGAAACTTGACTGTTCCTTTTACAAATATCAGTCCATTGTCTCAGATTTCATTGTTCATACATTTTCATACTAATTGCGTTTTTTCCTTATCGATCTTCTACTGAAATACCATTCTATGTCTGACCACCGTTAAATACTACTTATGTGGATTTAAGTAGTCCACACCACAGTAGTACCTACGCTTACTTGATGTGATCAAGGGTATAATCAAGAGTAATTTCATGAATAAAAGGTATTTGGTTACTCTAACCATATATCATCATTGTAACTTCTAACATTAACACTTTAATACTGACAGAATATGCTTATTTCAATAATAAGTAAATTTACGTTTATTTTTGAACATACTAGACTTATTAAACTCATTCTCCCCAAGTGATAGCTTTCAGTTGCCAAAATGTATTCACTCATTACAAGTTGTTTGAATATGAGATTATTTGTATCCGCATTAAGGAGAGTCAATAAATTTTTACGGTTATTTTACCAATTTACAGGATAACTTAATCAATTAGAATGTATATGCTGGAATTTTATCATTTAGATGGATAAGATCTATACATAAGTTAGAGATATTCTTATACGTGAAATTACTTCATAATGAGAATAAGCAACGAGAAATTCAGAAAATACAATACCATTACTGAATTGTGTAAATTAACGTTATTAGAATAAAGCTGATCGATAAATATATGTAGAATTTTAACAGATTACAACTTTCAACCAATCAGATCTAAAACAAAAGTTATGACCTTCATTGATCATTCATGTCTGTTAACAAGTATTTAAATCTTAGTAAATTCATTTGGTTAGGGCGATTTTTGGAAAGTATGACAAAGACATTTTGTCTTCCTGAAGTTAAGTATACTCAAGTAAGTAGTTAATTTGTCCAGTCAGTACATCTTATTATCATTCGGTATGGAGTTGTTACTTTCACATTCTGTTAAATTTTTATAAAAACTAACTAAATTTCTACGAATAATTTTACTTGATTCGAAGGCTATTGTGATAGGTAAATCCATCTTATCAGTATAGGGTTGTGGAAATTATTAAATTTTTGATTGAGAACATGAACTGAGTGATGTTAGACCATGATTGAAAATCTGGAAGCACTAGATGACCGTTTCGTTCTATTGTGGGACTCCTCAGCAATTTCGCGAGTTGGTTGGGGTTAGACATTAACACTGTTGGATACCGACTTATTTGTCTAGAGGTTAGGCGTTCGCGCGCAAGACTGAAGGCTCTGAGTTCGAATCCCGCGAGGGGGATCGTGGATGCGCACTGCTGAGGAGTCCCACAATAGAACAAAACGGCCATCTAGTGCTTCCAGGTTTTCAGTGGTGGTCTAACATCAATCAGTTTATAATTTCAATAAAAAAATCCATCTTGAACGTTTCCTAGGAAGTTACTTAACTTGGATTGTAAATTGCATGCATCATTTAGAACATGACTTTTAGATGTCACATTTACTCACTTGCTATTCACAAGTTAACTAATCCCACTTTGTTGGTTTTTAAAAAAAATTGTCCTTTTCATAAATAGAATGTGAGAGTACGGATACTGTATTATAAGTGAACTCATGAATAACTTATTGTTCAAAATCTTTCGATTCACGAATTATTTCCTTAGTGTTGATTGTTCGAATAGAACAACTTCCAGAATTCTAAGTATTCTTTAGAAATCTGAAGTGACGTAAATTCGTAATTGTCTAATGAAATCAAATGACTAGAAAGTTCAGTTGGACGTGGCTGTTGATTGTTTTCATGACGATGCTTAATCGATATTGGAAAGGGCTGCTTAACAACTCCTATTAATGTCTAAATTATGGAGCCTTTATACAGTACTAACGTTTGTTGTCTGACAAATCGGATTATATGTTTATTAACAAGTTTGTTTATCTCGAAAAGTTGCGCTTATTGTACAGTATAACTTAGTGTACTTACCAATGTAACTCACATCTTTGTTGCATGGTGATTTCTATTTTAATACAGATGCTTGATAAGCTCATAATTAATAGCGAGTTTGGAAAGATTTAACGTTTAATAAGGCTCAGCAACTGTGTTTGCTTAACTAGGATTTACCTGCTTAACTTTTATAATTTTAAATTTTATTACTTTTAAAGAAATCTAGCCAGTTGTAAATATAATTACATCTTTTGACATACTTTATATTCGACATGCTATATTTTAGTTATTCATTGGTAATGAATTTGTCGATAGCAAATCGAAAAAAACATTTCCAACTATTAATCCAACAACAGAGGATGTGATATGTCATGTTCAAGAAGCTGATCAGAATGATGTAAACAAAGCAGTTGAATCTGCTAAGGCAGCCTTCAAAACAGGATCTACGTGGCGTACCATGGATGCTTCAGAACGTGGTGTTTTGTTACATAAATTGGCTGATCTTATCAAAATGAATGCTGAATATATAGCTGTAAGTTGTTTCTTATCTGTCCATATGGGTTCGAACTGGTGGCTAAGACGTCTATTCAGTCTCAGATTCGAGTCCTGTGTCACCTACTTCTGCTCGGACAGCCGGTTGTTATTACTAGCCTTCAATCATAAATTTTGACTTAGAGCACCGTGTACATGAATCTGCAATAGATGAATACGTTACATCATCATCATCATTTTGGAAAAACATGGAGTATCCATTTTTCTGATAAAACTTGCTCTGTACAGGTGAATCTACAGTTAGATTTAAACTAAGGAAAGAATTCAGTTTACTTCAGCAATTTACGTGATAAATATTTAGAAGCATTTTTTGGTCTTGTGTCATATTGATATTAAGAATTTACTAATTTCCATGGGATATTCGAGATCAGAAAGTCTTGAAGTGAACGATCTTTTACGATAACTCCTCCATCAGACTTTACGGTTATACATCCAAGATTATCATTTTTTTGTTAATCCATTAGAAACAGCAAACTTCACGCCGGTTGTTTCTTATATTGTACAAATTAATAACAAAACCAAATAACTTAAATGGTAATGTTAAGAAAAGATCAAACAAAAAAGTATGAGGAGAATCATATGTCATAGTGAAGATGATGAGTTCTAACTAATAAGTTGGATTGTATATTTAAAAAACCAATTATGTTATAGCTATTGTGATGATAATAATAACATCGAAGATAAATATAATCTAAAATAATAAAGATGAATTCGGGAAAAGAAACAGTTTCTTGGGAGTGCAAATCGTAATTGTTACATCATCCTACAATCAACCAATACGCGTAGATGACCTTAAGCAACCAATACCCAGCAACGACTTGGAAGACTGATACTCTACTCCTGACGATTAATCCAACACTAACTTTCCCCGAACGAAGAGGAAGAACGCAATATCAATGTTCACCAGACCAAATCATCATTGTATTTCAGTCATTCATTTATATACATACATGACCAGACCACACAGTAAATCAACTGGGTAACAGTATTAACACGGAACGGTAACATTAATGATGGGAAGACGGAATACTGGGTACACAAATAATTGGGTCTAGTTTATGAATGAAATATGCTATAGCAACAAACTACGGTTCAAATAAAAGATTAGAACTAGGGTAATAAGAAAATAATAAAAACAAAAATAATTGGTAAAATTGCAACCTAATTATAAATAAAACTAGAAAATTAGCTTCGAAATTTTCTACCTTATAGTTAAATCGTCCCCTACGACAGTAATGAAAGTAGAAGGGACGTCACTGGACGGTGGTGTTCCATTCATTTAAAGTTGGTAAAGACTTACCTTGTGAATCTGACAAGGCTTTCCTGGATATGATATCCGTGTATTCAGGACTTACAAACCCACTGCGTGGATGTGATTACAAGGGTGCATGGACGTCGCACTAAGGCTTAATATGTGCTACATGCACACCAATAACACACAAGTTTTCACTTATGCATCTCATAGTATAGATAAAATTATGTTCATCTACCTAGGATGGTAGGTGGTTACCGCTCTCTTCGAACGTATTTGCTACGACTGACTGTCTTCTACGCATTACATGCACATTTACGGTACAAAGACTTGCTCATGCTCTTCATGGAATGCACATAAGTATAAGCACTCTCAGGGAAGGTTGGTGGTCACTCAGTATTATTTAAAACTCAATCGACGTGGAATTTTTCATTCTCAATTTATTCCGTAAACCAATCCAACTTCAATATTTGTTTACTTAATGCAGTAATAATTTTGAATTTATCACTGCAGAGCCTAACGGGAAAGTTATCGAAAACGATAGCTCACTGTAATACTCTCTTCTCTTTAATGTTTATTTCAGCTTGAAGGTTCTACTTTTCCGAATTAGTTTAGTATTCCCTTTGTGGAACCTTAAAATTTGTGGAAATTTCCATCCATTTCTTTGTCATAATATATTAGTTTGTTCAATAATGAAAATAGTATGTTGCGCTTAGAATTCATAATTTCACCAACATCAATTTGATGTTTGTACTTCTATCATCATTTCTTTTCCTTTTCATTTTAGCGTTTGGAAGCAATGGATAATGGGAAGACTGTAGACTTAGCATTGGATGATGTCTTATTTGCAGCGCAAACAACTCGGTATTATGCTGGATACGCTGATAAGATTCATGGTAAACAGTTACCAGTTGACGGGAATATGATTACGTTTACTCGCCGTGAACCACTTGGAGTTGTTGCTTGTATCACACCGTGGAACTATCCGTTTTTGTTGAGCGTTCTCAAATGTACTCCATGTTTATGCGCTGGTTGCACAGTTGTATTGAAACCCGCAGAACAAACACCATTATCCGCATTGTATTTAGCTGCTTTAACCAAAGAGGCAGGTAAACATATACATATACCGTTGATATTCCATTTTAAAATACAAATGATGTCTATGGATAAATGACTTGCAAAATCGGCCAAGAAACAATTAATATGTTCTTCGTGTTATTTCTGCAATACGTGATTGAACTGAGTTAAATTACTAACTAATTGTTATTATTTGACTGGAAGGTTAACGTTTTTAAAACTCCTGGGATACAGGTTTTAATCAGCGTTTGACTTCTTTGATTTTAGTTTCTTTCCTATGGTATCGTAACTGATATCAACCATCAATAACTGTTGCCTACGTATATTCGAACAGAAAAAGAACCTCATTTAACTGAGATACAAATGAATATTCACGATACATTTAGAAATAACTATTAATTTACAAGTTTGAATCCCTTTATACTTGTACAAATGATTTTGTACTAACGTGACTAAATTTCATCGGGTCTATTTTGATTCCGAGTTTAATTCTACGTAAATCGACTTGTCATATGTTTCACCTTTGTATTTGTTCTACTGTTGTAATTTATTTGATATTTTCAGTGGCAGAATAAGTGTCTTCCAGAAATAATTAACAATTATTTTGTTATTTAGGTTTCCCACCTGGAGTATTTAATGTTATCTGTGGATATGGTGAAACTACTGGTGAGGCGTTAACTCATCATCCGGATGTTAGAGCTATCTCATTCACCGGTAGTACTGAAGTTGGTCAGTTGATAATGAAAGCTGCGGCTACGAATATTAAACATGTGAAATTAGAACTTGGCGGCAAATCACCACTGATCATATTAGCTGATGCTGATAGTATGTGTTTAAAATTTTTGTTGTATCTTTTTACCATAATTGGAAGTGCCGTTACTAAAGAGCTGTAACCGGGACGTTATTTTCTGAAAATTCTTTTCAGGAACATTTTACATTCATGTAAGGGTAATTTCTTGAATGCCATAAAAGATGGTACGCAGTCTTCAGATATGATACCGAACATTTCACTCCCGTTCTTATACTGGTGAATTTCCTGCATTGTATATATATTTCAATACTGATATCAAATTTACGACTTTTGGAACAGGTCCAGCTACTGACTGGCGGTGCTAGATAGTCTAGAAATAGGTTGCATAATGTCAGGAATTAATCTGTGTAGTTGCTAATTATTGGTCTGAGACAATCTAAGAGGTGAGAACTTGGTGGTTACGGTTCGTAACGTAACGCTAATGTATGTTATAAGATATAAAGTGACATGGTTCAAAATCGTTTGAAGTAGATAGTCTTTATGAATCGGTAATTTAAAATAGCTTTCACCCTATTAGTTCATTTTAATTTTAATTTTTTTTGTTCCAACATTTGACCCTAAATAAAGGAACACCTAGATGAATTGTAGACCTTAATGTGTTGTCTGTGATAAAATTCCATTGAATTCAACAATATTCATTCATTTAACATGTATTATTCATGTATCAATAGGTTTTTTTAATCAAATTAGTTTTTGTACCCTTGGATTGCTCAACTTACAAACAAATTTAGATTGTTTTAATAGTTGAGATCATGAAGCTAGACCACCATGGAAAACTTGAAAACATTGGACGGCCCTCGAAAATGAGAATTTATCTTTAGTTTATGTATCATTTAGATTTAGTGTATGTGATTTATATTATGTTGCGTGAACGTTTGATACTGACTGAATTTTACCAGAATCACTAGATTAAATCATTTGATGTCCCATTATAATAGAATATGATGCTGCCTAGTAATAACAACAACCTAGTTGCTGATGCCCTTTGATTATTCCAAGAATTATCAGTATAGGGTTGTGGAGATTATTAACTTATTGATCGAGATTTTGAACCGATTGATCGTGGATGCGCACTGCTGAGGAGTCCCCTAATAGAACGAAACGGCCGTCCAGTGATTCCAGGTTTTTAATGGTGGTCTAACATCAATTGGTTCAAGATCTCTATTACAAGAATTATTTACCGATATATTTAAACGTGCTTATACTTTCAGAGTATCTCTCGATTTGACTTCTTTTTCTTTTCATTATCATCGTTATATTTTGAGGTCACTGGCGATTAAATGTTTGAATACTTATGAAGTTAATATAATTTACTGTTGCTAGTATATATGTCGAATATTTTTGTATAAATGGTTTTGAATGGATAAATATATATGACCTGTATGTGATTGGTATACCACATTTAAAAATCTTCATATATACCTTGTCAATGGTAATATTCACTAGTTTCTTTTTTATTTAACATACCTTAAAATAAATCTATGTTGCCTCTTTGTCTATTTTTGATTGTTCAGTTGAGAAAGCTGCAGAAGTTGCACATGAAGCTACAATGGTTAACCATGGACAGTGTTGTGTGGCTGGTACTCGTGTATTTGTACAAGCTCCTATATACGATCAGATGGTTGAGAAACTGAAAAGGCTAGCTGAGCAACGTAAAGTTGGTGATCCTTTCGTATCTGGTACTATACAAGGTCCACAGGTAATCGGTTACTGTTTGGTTGCTGTCTTGTGTTGGTATATAATTACTACCGATAAGTTTGGAACTATTTCCCATGAAAATGTTCATTTGTTTCTCTCGGCGCACTGTTCTGAAAGTATTAAAATTGCATAGTAGCCACCAGTGCAATAATAGACAGTTTCAACTGATTACATCTACCTATCAACGGCAAAATAAAAGTCCTTAAAAGTACTATTTTAAACGTCATTTTCCATAATAGTAGTAGATTGGTGAGGAAATATCACTGAATTGACAAAAACATGAACTACTTTTATAAGTGACTTTTGGAGTCATTTGTGGAGGAGAGCAATATTAAGTCTTATTTTAAGTTTTTATTGCTACAAAGTGTATTTGAAATGTTGGAATGATCATTTTTTCGTTTGGTTACTCTTTAGCAGTGGATTCCAAAAGCTCCAGATAAGATGTAGCCTAGGTGTTTAGGTCTAAAAACAAGCGTGATGCCTTCAGATCATCATGTAAATGTATAATGGTTCACATTGTCAGCTTCAATTAATTTGTGTTACAGTTTGATCTTCATATTGTATTATTCTTGTGTCTTACTACTTAGATCATTTCTTCCAGACAGAACTTTAGTAGATATATCTTGTACCTAGTCCACTAATCATCGTACGGTTATGATTGTATTAAGTGGCCTTGTTGAGATTTTTTATAAATTGAAGGATACTGACCTCACTTCACTTGTAGTCAATGGACAACTTAAATGCCATGAGTTAGCTCGCGTATAGAGATGTGAGTATGCACTCTTTGGGAGTCTTCGGGGTTCGAACCCAGGGCCGTGAGCGGGATCGTGGATGCGCACTGCTGAAGAGTCCCACAATGGGGCGAAACAGCTGTCCAGTGCTTCCAGGTTTTCAATGGTGGTCCAGCATCAATCGGTTCATGATATTAATCAAAAACTTAATAATCTTCACAACCCTATGCTGATAGTCTTAAACTAACCCATATAAGTGTCTCACTCTCTTTCAGAAACTTTCCAGTCTCCATCAATACATAAGTATTCACTTAAAAATTATGCAGTGTTAAAAAACCACTGAAATGAATCTCGATTTATTCCTTGTCTTAAATCAGATAACCTAAGTCTGAATAATTTTGATTTTAGTTCTTTATATATATATATATATATATATATATATATATATTACGCCTGTTAATCCTCATGGAGGAGCATAAACCACCTACCAGCATTCTCCATCCAACTCTGTCCTGGACAATCCTTTCCAGTTCCTACTCATCCTCTTCATGTCTTCCAATCCCCGATGTAGTGTGTTCTTTAGCCTTCCTCTTTTTCGTTTATCCTCAACATTCCAAGTTGGTGCTTGTCTCGTGATGGGACTAGTTGTCTTCCATTTATATGGAAACATTTTCTTCATGTTGTTGTCTTTGACATAATCTAATATTAATAACTTGATCGAATGTTTGATGTGAATTCGTATAAATAAAATAGTTTTTATTTACTAAGACATGCTTAATCAATGTGAAACTTTCTTTTCTTCGATTTCAATCTGAAAAAGATTGACAATGTACAATTTGAAAAAATCATGTCATATATTGAAAAAGGCAAAAAACAAGGTGCTCGACTAGTCACTGGAGGATGTCGAATTGGAAAAAAAGGTTATTTTATTCAACCAACAGTGTTTGCAGATGTGTCTGATGAAATGTGTATAGCAAAAGAAGAGATTTTCGGTCCAGTTCAATGTATATTGAAATTTAATACATTGGAAGAAGTAATTGAACGTGCAAATGCCACACATTACGGATTAGGTGCTGGTGTATTCACAAGTGATATGGATAAAGCAATGAGAATTGCTCAATGTGTAGAAGCTGGAAGTTTTTGGTAAGCTTATGTCACACTGAAAAATATGTATTTGAGTTATTGATATGCACTTGTTAGTTCGTGCTTGTCTAATGAGTAAGATGAGTATGAGTTGAAGTCAGTAACAAAAGAAAAATCCTCATTGTGTAAATTAATAAAACAGATATAAAGGAACAATATTGTTTCCAATTAATTCTCCATCGGACTTTAATATACAGGAATAATCATATACATGAATTCACTTAGTATTGTTTGCTTGAACCTTCCCATTGAGGTTTTTAGGACTGCAATTGATCAGTCTGTTATTGGTATATGTGCATACTATGCGTATTGCCTCGATATTGCCTTAATTCACAAGCCTGGTAAGTAAAGATGGATAGTGGCTAGCAGTGGAATCCAGGACGCGCGTTTCGTCTCATTTGGAACGCATCAGTTGAATGTACCTGCATCTAATTATGTGCATATATGAGAAATACTGAACCAGTCGAGGCAATTTCTGAGTCAGTGACAATTATTAAATAGATTATACTTAGTATGTAAATATATGATATGATAGTAATAGAACATTATTGTAGTAATAAATATATAAATAATAAACATCATGTTAATATAAACAAATGTATTGCAACAGGAAGTTATTCAAAGGTTGTGGATAAACGTATTACAATAGTAACCATTTAAATAACACAATACAATCCACAAAAAGGACTTATTGTTTTTCAAACAATTAAATATGATCTGAACTATTCGGATATTATTAAATAATCTTGTTCAACACATTGGTTAAGTGAGAAAATGAAGTAGAGCTGCAATGAACAGAGATGAACTATTTGTATTGGACATACAGTAGTTCACATGAATCAACTAGAAATCTAAAATAATTCTGTGTACAATTGATCCTTACGGAATTTGGTCTGTTTATCTTGAAGTTGGGCGTCTATTGAGTTTTTCATCTAGTTCCAGTAACACTGTTGAAAACCTTCTCTGGTACTGACAGTAGTGTGATGCATCTGTAGCTCTTGCATTCGCTCAAATATCCTTTCTTTGGTTTCTTAATGAGGTGTCTTTCTTTCCAGTCCGTCGGTGACACTTTTTCTTCCTATCGAATCTTCCCGAATAGGGTGTGGAGTATTTTTGCAGTTACCTCCATATCTGACTTCAGAGCTTCGAGTGGTATACTGTCAGGTCGTGCTGCTTTCCCACTCTTCATTTGTCTAATGGCCATCCTGATTTCTTCGATTGTTGATGGAGTGACATCTATAGGCGTGTCTGAGTGTGCTGCTTCGATGTCCGGTGAGTTCAGTGGAGTTGGCCTGTTCAAGAATTCTTTAAATTGTTCTACCCATCTCCCCCCTGTTCTTGAATCTCGGTGATCGTCTTGCATTCTTTGTCCTTGATTGGTCTCTCCGGTTTACCACATTACCCTGTCAGTTTCTTCGTTGTGTCATATAATTGTTTCATAATTCCTTCTCTTGCAGCTTTCTCCACTGTCGTTGTTAGGTCTTCCACGTATTTCTGCTAGTTGGATTTAATGCTCCTCTTCACTTGGTTGTTTGCGCCAGTTTATTCAGCTTTCTCTATTAATTTTCGCCTGTTGTTAAATACCTTCTTCTTTTGCTCACATTGTTGGATCTTGCATAGGGTTTCGATAGAGATCCATTCAATATCATGATGCTTGTTGCGGTCCGGCACCTCATGACACGTTGGAATTAGTGTTTAATTGATCACTTTCCCATCGCCTGCACAGTAGTTTCTTCATAAACGTTGTTCTCCATTCCGACTTCGGCATTTAGATCTCGCATCAGAATTGTCAGGTGCTTTCCTGGGCACTTAGTCGCATTTCGCTAAACTCAACAACGAACGATGCCAAGACAAAGGAAAACAAAAAACAATAAGTTATTTAATCGATACACAGTTAACGACTGATTATCTGTGTTGTAACAGAAAACAACCCGAGTATCTGGACTCCATAATTCCATGCACACTAACAACCGACTTTTTGAATACCTTGTTCTGTGAGTTAGCACCATCGAACAGAATGAACTGAAAATTTTCAACTAATAGATTGAATGTTAAATATAGGAGAGAGGTGAATGAACTTGATCTCCTGTTGTGCAGTGGTATGTGAAACACAGGGTTGTGGTGTTTATTAGTCAACACAGTGGATTCGACTCAATCGAACTGATATTGATGTGAATCGATAGCGTGTGAAGAACAGCCGAAGTGATTGGTATTAGCTTTAGACATTCAGTATCCCTAGAAGAGCTACAGACTGAGTTTTACTGTATTTTGACAAACTGTTGTTCCATAATTTATTATTAATGTATTATACGTGCGACTAAGCCCTTAACACAATGTTTGTTTGAATTATTCACTTTCATGTCATAGGATCAATAGTTATAATCTCATTTCTCCTCAAACTCCTTTTGGTGGTTATAAAATGTCTGGAATGGGACGTGAACTGTGAGTATTATGATGAATAAATTTCGCATGTATATGTTTTAGTACGTTATCATAATTTTAGTTGTTTCCAATATCCGGCCATGTTCGACAGTGAAAATGCGCTACAACAGGATATCCACTTAATGCATAGAAACTAGTATATTGCATGTACATTTCTGCACAACCACCAATATGATTCCTTTCGTAAACCTGCAATTATTAAGTAATTTTCATGTTGCGAAGTTAACTGTTTTACAAATTTGATGACTATTTCACCGGCCTGCATGAGTTGGATAACATAATCTCGATGGTCAAGTATTTAAGCCTACAGTAACTAAATCAGATCATTACAACTACTCATTTTTCTAACCAAAATTATCTAGAGAAACGTTTAGAACTTGTTCATTCGTAAATGCTCTTCAGTGATAAACATCGATAAAAACTGTAATCATTTACTGTAACCATTTAAATAAAAAATGAATTGTTTATCTGAAAGTAGAATTCAATTAGACTAGTAGATTAAGAATGCTCTCGATTTCGGTAAGACCATAATTGATTTGAACTGTGATTGGTTTTTCCTACTGTGTCATACATCATAAAAGTACCACTGTCAACTAGGATCATAAATAATTTAACGTATTCTATTAATGGGCACATTGTAAAATGAGTGTGAATATTTGTCTAGCTTGATAGTTCTACTCACTAGTTGACATTAAATAGAGAACGAATGGAAATGCTAAAGCACTGTGTGGCTCTTTCGTCATAGCTTAGGACTTTTCAACTGATCATACATACAGTCACACGAACGACCTTCAAGTCAGTCATCAATGAATAATTTTGAGATGAATATCGCTGAGTTTTAGTGAGGAACTGTAGATCGTGAAGTCAGCTATCTAAATTATGTGGTAGATACATACAGATGACATTGTATGATGTTTGCATTGTATCACTGATTAAATGAGACTGGAAACATGAACCATTTCAACATTACTACATGATATTACTCATTCTTTTCCTCATTATTTCAGTGGGAAAGAAGCACTGGATGGTTACTTGCAAACGAAAGTGATTTCTATGCCAATTTCAGTAAAGAATTCTTGAAATTCATGACAGTTTTTTTAAATTCTTTTGTATTTTTCTCTATAAACACGATTATTTTACAGTAGAATTTTGATATGAATGTGATTTATTGTTATTGATATTGATACTGTTGTTCTATCGTTAATAGTAGATATTACATAGATAAACAAATAAGATATTGTGAAAAATTTCCATTGATTTTCTGTAAGATTTACTCAGCTTAAAAATAGATGAGGAAATAATAGAAAATATGATAAGATCACATTGTTTTTTTTTTGAAACATGATGACAGTCGAAATCTGTAATGCACTTGTCAGAACAGTGTTCATTCTACATGATCGTTTGAATACCTGTACAATGCCCACAGACTGGTTGTCAAATTATAATTAGCAATGAATTCTAATCATAAGCACAAAACGGATCTATTCAATTGTAAGATAACCAATTAAGCGTTTATGTCTTTAGTATAGTACATGTACTAATCCTAATTACGTCACGATTCCAGAGCGAATTGATAAACATTTCGGTCGATAGATTCCTATCGCAAGCTTTGTTCAGATTTATTTAAGGATGAAATTTTTCTTGCATGCTTATAGAAAGCCTATGGGTACTGTCCACCTATAAATACACTAGACTTTATTCCTTCTTTGGTCGACTTTTATGCATTCAAACGATACTACTTGCTCGTAGTAAGTAGTTTGAGTTACAATAGACTATTTACAGGCCTCTAACTTGGCATCTAGTTTCATAAACTTGTAATAGACTTCATATCATATGCGTTTAACTTTGTGTTCTGATACTTGAACTACATCTTGTTTTCACATTTTTGAACTCCTATTTTTTTTTCTCGATCCCTTTCTATTTCTACTTTTCATAACTTGATTTGTCTCGGCAGTTTTGTCTATTCTTAGGAACGACGCGTCATTCCTTTACGTTAACATTTCTGATATTCACATTTGACAGAGTCGTATCGTACATTCTGTGATACCCTGCTCGGTAGAGTATTCACAAGCATTAATGACGTGGGCACTACGTTCCATGTGGAAAACCAGTCCCTTTGTGTCTTTAGATAAGCTTTACTGATGAGTACCAATTGGTAGGAATACTAGGTCAGCAGGGCTCACTGCCAAGTTCATCCAACCACTTAATACACCTAAATGTGCCACAAGTATTCAGAGTTTGACAAAGTCCTAGCCAGTAACACCTTTATAATCGAAGTGTGTCAACTCAGTCAAGTCAGAGGTCAGGAATGAAGGGGATCGAAGATATATTTACGAGGCTATCGGTATGTCATTTGAACGTCTGGTTTAAGCTGGCTAGCAGTTGAAAGAGATGTGTAGCGAGGTGTACCCACTCGTGATCTGATGCGGATGCGTAACCGTGTGCCTTCAGCTAGGTGAGACCAGTAGAATTAATGAGGTCAGCACAAAATGTCGAAGACTTACAGTTCTATAGGTTTTGAGGATTTATTTACCGCTGCACTCCATAAAAGCAACCATGGGTAAAACACTTTGAATGCTTTTCTTAATGCCCATATTTAGATAGACTAGTTTTGCTTCTATTCATAGTCTAGCATAATTATTACTCAGTTACTTGAAATATTTACTTTCCACTTTCATGTGCTTCTAACGATGTGTCGAAAAGCAGGATACATCGAAGTTTAAGGCTTATGAATTTATAGTCGTATATCTGTCTTCTGGATAATTCCCCCGATTTTCGAAATTGTGTTACACTTCACGTTTCTCTTGACCTTTGAATCGTAATGATCATTTTTAAGGGGACGATTATAAATTAGTGATTGGCTGATAACTACATAGAATTCACCAAACTCATGTTCCATTTTCGAAATAGAAGCAAAACTAAATAATCCAAAATGATCCGTCGCACTTCACTAAACTCAACAACGAACGATGCCAAGACAAAGGAAAACAAAAAACAATAAGTTATTTAATCGATACACAGTTAACGACTGATTATCTGTGTTGTAACAGAAAACAACCCGAGTATCTGGACTCCATAATTCCATGCACACTAACAACCGACTTTTTGAACACCTTGTTCTGTGAGTTAGCACCATCGAACAGAATGAACTGAAAATTTTCAACTAATAGATTGAATGTTAAATATAGGAGAGAGGTGAATGAACTTGATCTCCTGTTGTGCAGTGGTATGTGAAACACAGGGTTGTGGTGTTTATTAATCAACACAGTGGATTCGACTCAATCGAACAGATATTGATGTGAATCGATAGCGTATGAAGAACAGCCGAAGTGATTGGCATTAGCTAATGTGTCTTATTGAATGATTTGTAATTCGGTTTGTGAAGTGACGACCTAATTACATAAAGAATAGAACTGAGTGAATCTGCATCATGAACGTCTGTTGATAGTCTACCGAATGGTCAGTGTTGTGTATGTGGAGTGAGAATGTGGTACCTGTGGTAGAGAGTGTAGTTGATGTAAACAGATAGAGGTATTTGTGTAGATATTGAGGTGTTGTGTTGGTAAAATGTGTGGCGTCGCGTCCCGTGACCCCCATTGTGAGATGTGGTCAATAACCGTACACCTGAGGCTAGCGCCCATCCAACCAGGCCATCTGCTCAGCACCACATACAGCCATAGGGCCATGTGCAATACTTCTCCGCAGTTATGACGAGGAGACTGGGTGGGGAACCCGTACTTGGCGGACAACACTCTCTGTCCAGTACCCGGGGAGTTTTCCCAGGGTCAGTGAGTGACTGTTTTTCAAGCACTCTTCAACAAACTCCGAAATAACCACCGGTCCGCGACAATCGAGTACTGTTGCATTTACTCACCTGAAATATACTGGTTGATAATCGTTAGAAGGGATTCATTTGCACATCTTCACACAACTTATTCTTATTCCCATCTCGATTTCGCTCAATCATCGACATCCTAAATTCTCATTCACTTGTGCTTGCCGTTTGTTCTCTTCCTACAGTAAATTGAGCGTTTCGCATTTATTTATACCTTATTTATTTAAGTAGTATATTGACATTGGTGATAATATTACTCACGATCTATTTATCTTCTTACCACATATGCTTCAATTTATTCATCTTCTTGCGTTCAGATGCTTTGATTTAGATGAATATTTCGTTTATTGTTTCATAAGCGCGTAGATCAAATGTAAAAATTTTATTTAATTTCGAAAGCAGATCTTCATACTTTATTCAGCAAGGATACTAATACACATTCCATAATGGCTTTGCAATGCGACAACAACACCGTTATGAGCTTCTACCAATGAGCATTTATTCGAAGCATAGCACTTAACTTGTTTTTGGTTTTAAAGTCATCTATATAACCGTTTCACATCTATCCAGATTTTTTGGTACCACACCCTAAAAGCATAATTAGCTGTAGCTGTTCATAAGATGAATTATGAACATCACGTACAAACGAAGTTTGTCTTATCTTTGCGTTCACCGTGGCCTTAATCCATTATTATTACTCCTGTAAACTGAATATCATTCATCATAGTAGAGCAAAATGCACCATTGTTAACACTTAATTAATGTTATGACCATAAAATTGTAATGATCTACTTTTATCAAGAGAACACGACTGATTTAATGAAAACAATTATTATTATAACCAATTGTACCAATGATTGTTTTACTGTGCTCGTTTGCTTAACTGTGCTAAAGACAGCCATATTGCTCTTCCATTATTCTCCATTACTGTTTCGCGGTTCGTGACCCCGTTCGCACGTACTTTCTCCTGCCGATTCCGCTTGTACCTTTTCTTGGCACGATCTCGGTATTCGTTCGATACCACGAGATCCCCAACGAAATAAACTTGGTTCCAATCCGCATTCGCCTTCTGATTTATTTGGCACGTGTTTCTTTGTAGTGGTGTTCGTAGTCAACTGGGACTCGACACCACGATACAAACTGTTGATCAATTTCGACTGGTTAAATATAACTCCTTTTTCATTTATTTTGAATTACAAATCATCAAAGGTTTGTGAGCTGCAATAGTTACACAACAAAATGGCCTGTGTTATAAATAACAAGCTTGAAATGCTCGTTTGCTTAGAAATGGCTGATTGCATTTTAATACACTTAACCATTGGGTTGTTTAAACGTGTTAACTTGTTTAATGGGACAAAAATAGATTATTGTGGTGATACGGTAGATGTTTGTATGAAAAACGCTTCCTTTTAGTAGTTCTACACTAAGTTCATTTGTATAGCCTAATAACAACGAGAAATAAACCTCTAACAAATTAGAAGCCATTTCATTTGAATGTTAAACAAAGTGATCTATCAATATCGGAAACATCATTGTGATAATATACCAGTCTTTTCAATCATCCAATTCATGGTATAATCCTCAAACTTTTGAAAGTAGTTACATACACTCTGAGTAAATTATTTACATACTTGCTTAATATCTCATTCATTTTGTGTTATGACAGGAAGATGGAAATTAGAGGATTCAATACAAAATTTAACTTATATAAACATCTTGAAATAAAACTAATCGTGAATTTTTATATGCATTCACCGGCTTACTTGATCTCATGGAGTCAGAGTTCAGCTGCCTGTTACTGTCATTCTTCAACCCATTCTGTCTTAGGCCTTCCTCTCCAGTTCTATCCAGTCGATGTTCATTCTTCTCATGTCTGCCTCCATTTCTCGACATAATGTGTTCTTTGGTCTTCCTCTTCTCCTTTGGCCTTGAGGATTCCGATTGAGGGCTTGCCTTGTGACGCAGTTGGGTACTTTCTTCAATGTGTATCCTATCCACTTCCAGCGCTTCTTCCTGATTTCATCCTTCGCTGTGCTCTGGTTTGTTCTCTCCAACAGTAGGTTGTTGCTGATAGTGTCTCTCCATCGGATCCGAAGTATTTTGCGTAGGCAGCTGTTAATAGATACTTTTATCTTCTGGATGATGGTTGTAGTAGTTTTCCAAGTTTCCGCCCCATTCAGTAGAACTGTCTTGACGTTGGTATTGAAAATTCTGGCCTTGGTGTTGGTTGACAGTTGTTTTGAGTTCCAGATGTTCTTCAGTTGTAGATTCAAAACAGGATCACGTAGTGATATTATTAACTATAGACATCCGTGCTCTCAAGAACCATGAAAAAAATCATCCACAAACAGCTATTATCATTTTTACTTTCGGCTAGTCTGATCAGCCCATCCCAACACGGGTTTATGACTAAACGCTCATGTTTCACATCACACCGGGAGTTTTTTGATCAAATTACCCAGATAAGAGATGTTGGTCAGTCAGTG